GAGGGATTTTGTCCCACTCCTCTTTGCAGATCTTCTCCAAGTCATTAAGGTTTCGAGGCTGACGTTTGGCAACTCGAACCTTCAGCTCCCTCCACAGATTTTCTATGGGATTAAGGTCTGGAGACTGGCTAGGCCACTCCAGGATCTTAATGTGCTTCTTCTTGAGCCACTCCTTTGTTGCCTTGGGTCATTGTCATGCTGGAATACCCATCCACAACCCATTTTCAATACCCTGGCTGAGGGAAGGAGGTTCTCACCCAAGATTTGACGGTACATGGCCCCCGTCCATCGTCCCTTTTATGCAGTGAAGTTGTCCTGTCCCCTTAGCAGAAAAATACCTCCAAAGCATAATGTTTCCACCTCCATGTTTAACGTTGGGGATGGTGTTCTTGGGGTCATAGGCAGCATTCCTCCTCCTCCAAACACGGCGAGTTGAGTTGATGCCAAAGAGCTCGATTTTGATCTCATCTGACCACAACACTTTCACCCAGTTCTCCTCTGAATCATTCAGATGTTCATTGGCAAACTTCAGACGGCCCTGTATATGTGCTTTCTTGAGCAGGGGGACCTTGCGGGCGCTGCAGGATTTCAGTCCTTCACGGCGTGGTGTGTTACCAATTGTTTTCTTGGTGACTATGGTCCCAGCTGCCTTGAGATCATTGACAAGATCCTCCCGTGTAGTTCTGGGCTGATTCCTCACCGTTCTCATGATCATTGCAACTCCACGAGGTGTGATCTTGCATGGAGCCCCATGCCGAGGGAGATTGACAGTTCTTTTGTGTTTCTTCCATTTGCGAATTATTTAATGACCCCTTCGGACCACTAGGGGGAGCTGAGTGTACACTAGTCTCCAGCTCTGCCTCCACCTCCTCACTGTATGGCGACTTTTTTTGTTGTTATTCTGTCTCTCACTGTTCAAATAAACCTACCATTAAAATTATAGACTGATCATTTCTTTGTCAGTTGGCAAACGTACAAAATCAGCAGGGGATCAAATACTTTTTTCCCTCACTGTGTGTATATATATACAGTGCATTTCGGAAAGTATTCAGACCCCCCTTGACTTTTTCCAAATTTTGTTACGTTATAGCCTTATTCTAAAATGGATTTAATATTTTTTCCCCCCTCATTAATTTACACACAATACCCCATAATGACAAAGCAAAAACAGGTTTTTACAATGGAGATATCACATTTACATAAGAATCCAGACCCTTTACTCAGTACTTTGTTGAAGCACCTTTGGCAGCGATTACAGCCTCGAGTCTTCTTGGGTATGACGCTACAAGTTTGGCACACCTGTATTTGGGGAGTTTCTCCCATTCTTCTCTGCAAATCCTCTCAAGCTCTGTCAGGTTGGATGGGGAGCGTCACTGCACAGCTATTTTCAGGTCTCTCCGGAGATGTTCGATCGGGTTCATGTCGGGGAACTGGCTGGGCCACTCAAGGACATTCTGCTTTGTCTTGGCTGTGTGCTTAAGGTCGTTGTCCTGTTGGAAGGTAAACCTTCGACCTGCCACCACCATGCTTCACTGAGTCCCTGGGGGCTTTCACATGAGTTTGTGTTGTAATAATATTAATAAATAATATGCCATTTAGCAGACGCTTTTATCCAAAGCGACTTACAGTCATGCGGGCATACATTTTTGTGTATGGGTGGTCCCGGGGATCGAACCCACTACCCTGGCGTTACAAGCGCCGTGCTCTACCAGCTGAGCTACAGAGGACCACATCCATGTCGTACATACCCTTCAATGTCAATAGTTTCTTGCCGATGCAAATGCGTTTAATTTATAGAGGTAATGTCTGGGTTTAAGGATTTTAGTATTGTTATTCGTAACTTATTGTTCAAGGTAATCCATGTGTTAACATGCCAAAACGCTATTGAAATGGAGTCTCGTAGGGGATGGGAAGCCCTTTTTTTTGTGTCATTTATGGTTAGGGTTTCTCCAAAGCTGTATGATTATCCTGGATGGTTTTCTCCAAAGCTGTATGATTGTTCTGGATGGCTTTCTCCAAAGCTGTATGATTATCCTGGATGGCGTTGTCTCCAAAGCTGTATGATTGTCCTGGATGGTTTTCTCCAAAGCTGTATGATTATCCTGGATGGCTTTCTCTAAAGCTGTATGATTGTCCTGGATGGTTTTCTCCAAAGCTGTATGATTATCCTGGATGGCTTTCTCTAAAGCTGTATGATTGTCCTGGATGGCGTTCTCCAAAGATGTATGATTATCCTGGATGGCTTTCTCCAAAGCTGTATGATTATCCTGGATGGCTTTCTCCAAAGCTGTATGATTGTCCTGGATGGCTTTCTCCAAAGCTGTATGATTGTCCTGAATGGCTTTCTCCAAAGCTGTATGATTGTCCTGAATGGCTTTCTCCAAAGCTGTATGATTGTCCTGGATGGCTTTCTCCAAAGCTGTATGATTGTCCTGAATGGCTTATCTCCGTCATGAAATTAGCCATGCTGTTGTTTAATCAGCTGGCAGTCTTTCCTACCACTCTTTCTTTTCTAATATAATGAATATGATGTACAGCAGGGTTCCCCAATAGGCGGCCCGCAAGTGATTTTATTTGGCCCCCCAGGTTTTTTGAGCCCCCAAAATATATACAGTGCCTTCACACCCCTAGACTTTTTCCACATTTTATTGTTACAAAGTGGGATTAAAATTGATTTAATTGTCTTTTTTTTTTGTCAACAATCTACACAAAATACTCTTAATGTCAATGTGGAAGATTTTTTTTATTTTTACAAATGTTAGAATTTATTAAAATTAAAACACTAATATATCTCGATGAGATAAGTATTCAACTCCCTGAGTCAATACATGTTAGAATCACCTTTGGAAGCGATTACAGCTGTGAGTCTTCCTGGATAAATCTCTAAAAAACTTTCTACATCTGGATTGTGCAACATTTGCCCATTTTGTTATTTTCAAAATTCTTCAAGCTCTGTCAAATTGGTTGTTGATCATTGCTCTCAAACCATTTCCAGGTCTTGTAATTGGGGACCCCTGATCTCCAGGTCTTGTAATTGGGGACCCCTGATCTCCACAGTATGGGAGTCGCCATACAGTGAGGAGGTGGAGGCAGAGCTGGAGACTAGTGTACACTCAGCTCCCCCTAGTGGTCCGAAGGGGTCATTACAACTAGACATTATTGGTTCCCCAGCTGCTCAGGGTAGAAAAACCCCTAGGCACAGATACACTACATGACCAAAAGTATGTTGACACCTGCTCGTCAAACAGCTCATTCCAAAATCATGGGCATTAATATGGAGTTGGTTCCCCCCTTTGCTGCTATAACAGCCTCCACTCTTCTGGGAAGGCTTTCCACTAGATGTTGGGACATTGCTGCGGGGACTTGCTTCCATTCAGCCACAAGAGCATTAGTGAGGTCGGGCACTGATGTTGGGCGATTAGGCCTGGCTCGCAGTCGGTGTTTCAATTACATTTACATTACATTTGAGTCATTTAGCAGACACTCTTATCCAGAGCGACTTACAGTTAGTGAGTGCATACATTTTGTACTTTTTTTTTTTCATCCCAAAGGTGTTCAATGGGGTTGAGGTCAGGGCTCTGTGCAGGCCAGTCAAGTTCTTCCACACCGATCTCGACAAACCATTTCTGTATGAACCTCGCTTTGTGCACGGGGGCATTGTCATGCTGAAACAGGAAAGGGCCTTCCCCAAACAGAATCGTCTAGAATGTAATTGTATGCTGTAGCGTTAAGATTTCCCTTCACTGGAACTAAGGGGCCTAGCCCGAACCATGAAAAACAGCCCCAGACCATTATTCCTCCTCCACCAAACTTTACAGTTGGCACTATGCATTCGGGTAGATGGCGTTCTTCTGGCATCCACCAAACCCAGATTCTTCCATCAGACTGCCAGATGGTGAAGCGTGATTCATCACTCCAGAGAACGTGTTTCCACTGCTCCAGAGTCCAATGGCGGCGAGCTTTACACCACTCCAGCCGACGCTTGGCATTGCGCATGGTGATCTTAGGCTTCTGTGTGGCTGCTCGGCTATGGAAACCCATGGCGAACAGTTCTTGTTCCTGATGAACAGTTCTTCCAGAGGCAGTTTGGAACTCGGTAGAGAGTGTTGCAACCGAGGACAGACGCTTCGCGCTTCAGCGCTCGGCGGTCCCGTTCTGTGAGCTTGTGTGGCCTGCCACTTCGCGGCTGAGCCGTTGTTGCTCCTAGACGTTTCCACTCAACAGCTGACCAGGGCAGCTCTAGCAGGGCAGAAATCGGACTTCTTGGAAAGGTGGCATCCTATGACGGTGCCACGTTGAAAGTCACTGAGCTCTTCAGTAAGGCCATTCTACTGCTAATGTTTGTCTATGGAGACTTGCATGGCTGTGTGCTCGATTTTATAAACCTGTCAGCAACATGGTGTGGCTGAAATAGCCGAATCCACTAGTTTGAAGGGGTGTCCACATACTTTTGTATACATATTTTAGCTAGTATCATCGGATTACATCAGCCTGTGTCTCTTCTGAATCATCTATATCTAAACTAAACTAATCACCTATATCTAAACTAATCATCTATATCTAAACTAAACTAATCATCTATATCTAAACTAAATCATCTATATCTAAACTAAACTAATCATCTATATCTAAACTAAACTAATCATCTATATCTAAAGTAAACTAATCATCTATATATAAACTAAACTAATCACCTATATCTAAACTAATCATCTATATCTAAAGTAAACTAATCATCTATATCTAAACTAAACTAATTATCTATAACTAAACTAATCATCTATATCAACTCTCTCCCTCCCTTTTTCCCTCTCCTTATCACTTCTTCCCCCCTCCCCCTCTGTCTCTCCCCCCCTCCCCCTCTGTCTCTTCCCCCCTCCCCCCTTCCCCCTCCCCTCTGTCCTCTTTCCCCCCTCACCCCTCTGTCCTCTCCCCTCCCCCCTCTCCCCTCTTGTCTCTTCCCCCCTCCCCCTCTGTCTCTCCTCAGGCTGTGAACGTGGCTGGCGTGGGTATGTTCAGCGAGGCGATCCTCTGTCAAACTCCTCCTTCTGTACCTGCGGCCGTCAGCAGTGTCCACGCCCTCAAAGAGGCGGAGCTACGGGGATACCACACCTCCACCTCCACAGACCAGGAGGAAGAGGAGGAGGAGGAGGAGGAGGAGGAGGAGGATGGACCCCCCACCCCTCCTCTCTACTCCCCCTCCACTTGTCTAGGTCAGTTTGGTTTGACATTGTTTTGTTTGTTTGTCTTGTTGACTGTTGTAAAGCCTCTTTGGGACCATAAAAAAAAAATATATATATATACATACAGTGTATTCGGAAAGTAATCAGACCCCTTCCCCTTTTTCCACATTTTGTTACATTACAGCCTTATTCTAAAATGGATTAAATAAAACAAATCCTCATCAATCTACACACGATACCCCATAATGACAAAGCAAAATATTACATTTACATAAGTATTCAGACCCTTTTACTCAGTAGTCTGTTGAAGCACCTTTGGCAGTGATTACAGCCTCGAGTCTTCTTGGGTATGACGCTACAAGCTTGGTACACCTGTATTTGGGGAGTTTCTCCCATTCTTCTCTGCAGATCCTCTCAAGCTCTGTCAGGTTGGATGGGGAGCGTCGCTGCACAGCTATTTTCTGGTCTCTCCAGAGATGTTCGATCGGGTTCAAGTCCGGGCTCTGACTGGGCCACTCAAGGACATTCAGAGACTTTTCCCGAAGCCACTCCTGTGTTGTCTTGGCTGTGTGCTTAGGATCGTTGTCCTGTTGGAAGGTGAACCTTCGCCCCAGTCTGAGGTCCTGAGCGCTCTGGAGCAGGTTTTCATCAAGGATCTCTCTGTACTTTGCTCAGTTAATATTTGTCTTGATCCTGACTAGTCTCCAAGTCCATGCCCCTGAAAAACATCCCCACAGCATGATGCTGCCACCACCATGCTTCACCTTAGGGATGGTGCCAGGTTTCCTCCAGACGTGACGCTTGGCATTCAGGCCAAAGAGTTCAATCTTGGTTTCATCAGACCAGAGAATCTTGTTTCTCATGGTCTGAGAGTCCTTTAGGTGCCTTTTGGCAAACTCCCACCCTGAACTCTGGAGCTCTGTCAATGACCATCGGGTTCTTGGTCACCTCCCTTACCAAGGCCTTTCTCCCCTGATTGGTCAGTTTGGCCGGGCGGCCAGCTCTAGGAAGAGTCAAATGACAATAATGACGAAGCATAAACAGGTTTTTAGAAAAAAAATCAAATTTATAAAAAATATAAAACAGAAATACCTTATTTACATAAGTATTCAGACCCTTTGCTATGAGATTCGAAATTGAGCTCAGGTGCATCCTGTTTCCATTGATCATCCTTGATGTTTATACAACTTGATTGGAGTCCACCTGTGGTAAATTCAATTGATTGGATATGATTTGGAAAGGCACACACCTGTCTATATTTTACATTTTAGTCATTTAGCAGACGCTCTTATCCAGAGCGACTTACAGTTAGTGAGTGCATACATTTTCATACTGGCCCCCCGTGGGAAACGAACCCACAACCCTGGCGTTGCAAGCGCCATGCTCTACCAACTGAGCTACAGGGGACTGTATAAGGTCCCACAGTTGACAGTGCATGTCAGAGCAAATACCAAGCCATGAGGTTGAAGGAATTGTCTGTAGAGAGCTGAGACAGGATTGTGCCGAGGCACAGATCTGGGGAAGGGTACCAAAACATTTCTGCAGCATTGAAGGTCCCCAAGAACACAGTGGCCTCCATCATTCTTAAATGGAAGAAGTTTGGAACCACCAAGACTCTTCCTAGAGCTGGCCGCCCGGCCAAACTGAGCAATCGGGGGAGAAGGGCCTTGGTCAGGGAGGTGACCAAAAACCAGATGGTTACTCTAAGTATTGCTAAAAACCTGTTTTTCCTTTGTCATTGTGTGTAGATTGATGAGGGAAAAAACTATTTAATCAATTTTAGAATAAGGCTGTAACGTAACAAAATGTTGGAAAAGTCAAGGGGTCTGAATACTTTCCGAAGGCACTGTGTCTGTAATATATATGTCTGTGTAAATGTATGTGTGTGTATGTATATATATGTATATATGTGTGTATGTATATATATATATGTATATATATATGTATATATATGTATATATATGTATATTATATGTCTGTGTATATGTATGTATGTGTGTGTATATATAAATATATATGTGTATGTATGTATGTATGTATGTATGTATGTATTGTATATATATATATACATACATACATACATACACATACACAGATATGTATATATACACACACATCATACATATACACAGACATATACATATATATGTATATGTCTGTGTATATGTATGTATGTGTGTGATAATAAATATATCTGTGTATGTGTGTGTATGTGTGTATATATATATATGTGTTGTATATATATATATATGTGTATATATATATATATATATATATATATATATATATACTGCTCAAAAGAAATAAAGGGAACACTAAAATAACACATCCTAGTTGAATGTGCTGACAACAAAATCACACAAAAATTATCAATGGAAATCAAATTTATCAACCCTCAAAATTAAAGTGGAAAACCACACTACAGGCTGATCCAACTTTGATGTAATGTCCTTAAAACAAGTCAAAATGAGGCTCAGTAGTGTGTGTGGCCTCCACGTGCCTGTATGACCTCCCTACAACGCCTGGGCATGCTCCTGATGAGGTGGCGGATGGTCTCCTGAGGGATCTCCTCCCAGACCTGGACTAAAGCATCCGCCAACTCCTGGACAGTCTGTGGTGCAACGTGGCGTTGGTGGATGGAGCGAGACATGATGTCCCAGATGTGCTCAATTGGATTTAGGTCTGGGGAATGGGCGAGCCAGTCCATAGCATCAATGCCTTCCTCTTGCAGGAACTGCTGACACACTCCAGCCACATGAGGTCTAGCATTGTCTTGCATTAGGAGGAACCCAGGGCCAACCGCACCAGCATATGGTCTCACAAGGGGTCTGAGGATCTCATCTCGGTACCTAATGGCAGTCAGTCTACCTTTGGCGAGCACCCCAAAGAAATGCCACCCCACACCATGACTGACCCACCGCCAAACCGGTTATGCTGGAGGATGTTGCAGACAGCAGAACGTTCTCCACGGCGTCTCCAGACTCTGTCACATGTGCTCAGTGTGAACCTGCTTTCATCTGTGAAGAGCACAGGGCGCCAGTGGCGAATTTGCCAATCTTGGCGTTCTCTGGCAAATGCCAAACGTCCTGCACGGTGTTGGGCTGTAAGCACAACCCCCACCTGTGGACGTCGGGCCCTCATACCACCCTCATGGAGTCTGTTTCTGACCGTTTGAGCAGAAACATGCACATTTGTGGCCTGCTGGAGGTCATTTTGCAGGGCTCTGGCAGTGATCCTCCTGCTCCTCCTTGCACAAAGGCGGAGGTAGCAGTCCTGCTGCTGGGTTGTTGCCCTCCTACGGCCTCCTCCACGTCTCCTGATGTACTGGCCTGTCTCCTGGTAGCGCCTCCATGCTCTGGACACTACACTGACAGACACAGCAAACCTTCTTGCCACAGCTCGCATTGATGTGCCATCCTGGATGAGCTGCACTACCTGAGCCACTTGTGTGGGTTGTAGACTCCGTCTCATGCTACCACTAGAGTGAAAGCACCGCCAGCATACAAAAGTGACCAAAACATCAGCCAGGAAGCATAGGAACTGAGAAGTGGTCTGTGGTCACCACCTGCAAAACCAGTCCTCTATTGGGGGTGTCTTGCTAATTGCCTATAATTTCCACCTGTTGTCTATTCCATTTGCACAACAGCATGTGAAATTTATTGTCAATCAGTGTTGCTTCCTAAGTGGACAGTTTTGATTTCACAGAAGTGTGATTGACTTGGAGTTACATTGTGTTTAAGTGTTCCCTTTATTTTTTTGAGCAGTGTATATATGTCTGTGCATATGTATGTATGTGTGTGTGTGTGTGTATGTATATATATATATGTATATATATATGTATATATGTATATATGTATATATATGTATCTCACATATTGGGATGTACTGTATATGTGTGTATTGATGAGTTATAGCTCCTGATGGCGCAGTGGTCTAAGGCACTGCTTTGCATGTGGCTAACTGTGCCACTAGAGATCCTGGTTCGAATCCAGCTCTCTGTCTCAGCCGGCCGCGACCGGGAGACTCGATGGGTCGTCACAATCTGGCCCAGCGTCGTCCAGGTAGGGAGGGAATGCCGCAGGGATGTAGCTCAGTTGATAGAGCATGCGTTTGCAACGCCAGGGTTGTGGAGTTTGATTCCCACGGGGGGCCAGTATAAAAAAATATATATATATGTATTCGCTAACTGTAAGTCGCTCTGGATAAGAGCTCTGCTAAATGACGTAATTTAAATGTAAATGTAATATATATAATGTTGTGTATATGTTATGTGTGTGGTGGTGCGTGACGGGTGATGTATTATATTATCCCGTGCCCCAGGGCAGTATTGGGGACATTGCCCTGTGTAGGGTGCCGTCATTCGGATGGGACGTTAAACGAGTGTCCTGACTCTCTGTGGTCACTAAAGATCACATTACATTTATCGTAAGAGTAGGGGTGTTAACCCCGGTGTCCTGGCTGAATTCCCAATCTGGCCCTCATACCATCATGGACACCTAACCATCCCCAGCATCCGATTGGCTCATTCATCCCCCCTCCTCTCCCCTGTAACTATTCCCCAGGTCGTTGCTGTAAATGAGAATGTGTTCTCAGTCAACTTACCTGGTAAAATAAGGGTAAAATAAGAATTTATGCATATGGTAGTGTGGTATGTCGTGGTGGTGGTGTTATTGCAGACGTGCTTAAAGTAATTGCCCCTCAGGGATACATAGTCTTTTTAATTGAATTGAAATTGGATTGAAAAGCACTATATAATAATATAATTATTATTGTTCTAGCTGTTGGTTGGGAGGCGCCGTGCAACCACGGGGCTGAGATCTCCTCCTATCTCATAGACCTGGGAGAGAGACAGTCCATCTCTGTAGGACCAGTCACCAAATATATCATTCAGCATCTGCAGCCTGACACCAGCTACAAGTAAGCCCACAGAAACAGTCACACACCCTGCCTCATACAGTCACACACCCTGCCTCATACAGTCACACACCCTGCCTCATACAGTCACACACCCTGCCTCATACAGTCACACACCCTGCCTCATACAGTCACACACCCTGCCTCATACAGTCACACACCCTGCCTCATACAGTCACACACCCTGCCTCATACAGTCACACACCCTGCCTCATACAGTCACACACACCCTGCCTCAGACAGTCACCAACCCTGCCTCATACACAGTCACACACCCTGCCTCACACAGTCACACACCCTGCCTCACACAGTCACACACCCTGCCTCATACACAGTCACACACCCTGCCTCATACAGTCACACACCCTGCCTCATACAGTCACACACCCTGCCTCATACACAGTCACACACCCTGCCTCATACACAGTCACACACCCTGCCTCATACACAGTCACACACCCTGCCTCATACGTCCACGACCCTGCCTCATACAGTCACCACCCTGCCTCACACACAGTCACACACCCTGCCTCACACACAGCACACACCCCTGCCTCACACACAGTCACACACCCTGCCTCAACACAGTCACACCCTGCCTCACACACAGTCACACACCCCTGCCTCATACAGTCACACACCCTGCCTCATACAGTCACACACCCTGCCTCATACAGTCACACACCCTGCCTCATACACAGTCACACACCCTGCCTCATACACAGTCACACACCCTGCCTCATACACAGTCCACACACCCTGCCTCATACACAGTCCACACACCTGCCTCATACACGTCACACACCCTGCCTCATACAGTCACACACCCTGCCTCAGACACAGTCAACACACCCTGCCTCATACACAGTCACACACCCTGCCTCAGTACAGTCACACACCCTGCCTCATACACAGTCACGCACCCTGCCTCAACACAGTCACGCACCCTGCCTCAGACACAGTCACACACCCTGCCTCAGACACAGTCACGCACCCTGCCTCAGACACAGTCACGCACCCTGCCTCAGACACAGTCACGCACCCTGCCTCAGACACAGTCACGCACCCTGCCTCAGACACAGTCACGCACCCTGCCTCAGACACAGTCACGCACCCTGCCTCAGACAGTCACGCACCCTGCCTCAGACACGTCACCACCTGCCTCATACAGTCACGCACCTGCCTCATACAGTCACGCACCCTGCCCTCAGACAGTCACGCACCCTGCCTCAGACACAGTCACGCACCCTGCCTCAGACACAGTCACGCACCCTGCCTCACACACAGTCACACACCCTGCCTCACACACAGTCACACACCCTGCCTCAGACAGTCACACACCCTGCCTCAGACAGTCACACACCCTGCCTCAGACACAGTCACAGACCCTGCCTCATACACAGTCACACACCCTGCCTCATACACAGTCACACACCCTGCCTCATACACAGTCACACACCCTGCCTCATACACAGTCACACACCCTGCCTCAGACGCAGTCACACACCCTGCCTCAGACGCAGTCACACACCCTGCCTCAGACGCAGTCACACACCCTGCCTCAGACGCAGTCACACACCCTGCCTCAGACGCAGTCACACACCCTGCCTCATACGCAGTCTCACACCCTGCCTCATACGCAGTCACACACCCTGCCTCATACAGTCACACACCCTGCCTCAGACACAGTCACACACCCTGCCTCAGACACAGTCACACACCCTGCCTCAGACACAGTCACACACCCTGCGTCACACACCCTGCCTCACACAGTCACACACCCTGCCTCACACACAGTCACACACCCTGCCTCACACACAGTCACACACCCTGCCTCACACACAGTCACACACCCTGCCTCAGACACAGTCACACACCCTGCCTCAGACACAGTCACACACCCTGCCTCACACAGTCACACACCCTGCCTCACACAGTCACACACCCTGCCTCATACAGTCTCACACCCTGCCTCAGACACAGTCTCACACCCTGCCTCAGACACAGTCACACACCCTGCCTCAGACACAGTCACACACCCTGCCTCATACAGTCACAACACCTGCACTCATACAGTCACCACACCCTGCCTCAGACGCAGTCACACACCCTGCCTCAGACGCAGTCACACACCCTGCCTCAGACGCAGTCACACACCCTGCCTCAGACGCAGTCACACACCTGCCTCAGACGCAGTCACACAACCCTGCCTCAGACGCAGTCACACACCCTGCCTCAGACGCAGTCACACACCCTGCCCTCAGACGCAGTCACACACCCTGCCTCAGACGCAGTCCACACACCCTGCCTCAGACGCAGTCACACACCCTGCCTCATACACAGTCTCACACCCTGCCTCAGACACAGTCACACACCCTGCCGCAGACACAGTCACACACCCTCTCAGACACAGTCACACCCCCCTGCCTCAGACACAGTCCACACACCCTGCCTCAGACACAGTCACACACCCTGCCTCATACACAGTCACACACCCTGCCTCATACACAGTCACACACCCTGCCTCAACACAGTCACACCACCCTGCCTCATACACAGTCACACACCCTGCCTCAACACAGTCACACACCCTGCCTCAGACACAGTCACACACCCTGCCTCACACAGTCACACCCCTGCTCAACCAGTCACCACCCTGCCTCAACACCCCCTGCCTCACACAGTCACACACCCCTGCCTCAGACACAGTCACACACCCTGCCTCAGACACAGTCACACACCCTGCGTCACACAGTCACACACCCTGCCTCATACACAGTCACACACCCTGCCTCAGACACAGTCCACACACCCTGCCTCAGACACGTCACACACCCTGCCTCAGACACAGTCACCACCCCCTATCCCCACCCTGCCTCATACAGTCACACACCCCTCCCGCCTCAGCTCAACCCCCAACAGTCACACACCCTGCCTCAACAGTCACACACCCTGCCTCACACAGTCACACACCCTGCCTCACACAGTCCCACAACCCTGCCTCACACAGTCCCAACACCCCTGCCTCACACAGTCACACACCACCCTGCCTCAGACACAGTCCCACACCCTGCCTCAGACACAGTCACACACCCTGCCTCAACACAGTCACACACCCTGCCTCACCAGTCACACACACTGCCTCAGACACAGTTCACACCCCTGCCTCCGACACAGTCACACACCCTGCCTCACACAGTCACACACCCTGCCTCACACAGTTCACACACCCTGGCCTCACACAGTCACACACCCTGCCTCATACACAGTCACACCACCCTGCCTCATACACAGTCACACACCCTGCCTCATACACAGTCACCACCCCTGCCTCATACACAGTCACACACCCTGCCTCATACACAGTCACACACCCTGCCTCAGACAGTCACACACCCTGCCTCAGACAGTCACACACCCTGCCTCAGACAGTCACACACCCTGCCTCAGACAGTCACACACCCTGCCTCAGACACAGTCACACACCCTGCCTCAGACACAGTCACACACCCTGCCTCAGACACAGTCACACACCCTGCCTCATACACAGTCACACACCCTGCCTCATACACAGTCACACACCCCTGCCTCATACACAGTCACACACCCTGCCTCATACACAGTCACACACCCTGCCTCATACACAGTCACACACCCTGCCTCATACACAGTCACACACCCTGCCTCATACACAGTCACACACCCTGCCTCAGACACAGTCACACACCCTGCCTCAGACACAGTCACACACCCTGCCTCAGACACAGTCACACAACTCTGCCTCATACACAGCACACACCCTGCCTCATACACAGTCACCACCCTGCCTCATACACAGTCACACACCCTACCTCATAACAGTCACACACCCTGCCTCAGACAGCACCACACCCATGCCTCAGACACAGTCACACACGCCTCAGACACAGTCACACACGCCTCAGACACAGTCACACACGCCTCAGACACAGTCACACACCCTGCCTCAGACACAGTCACACCCTCCTCAGACACAGTCACACACTCCTCAGACACCGTCACACACTCCTCAGACCACAGTCACACACGCCTCAGACACAGTCACACACCCTGGCCTCAGACACAGTCACACACCCTGCCTCAGACACAGTCACACACCCTGCCTCAGACACAGTCACACACCCTGCCTCAGACACAGTCACACACCCTGCCTCAGACACAGTCACACACCCTGCCTCAGACACAGTCACACACCCTGCCTCAGACACAGTCACACACGCCTCAGACACAGTCACACACCCTGCCTCAGACACAGTCACACACCCTGCCTCAGACACACCTCTAACCCATCTCTCCTCTCCTCTCCTCTCCTCTCCTCTCCTCTCCTCTTTGTAGGATTCGTATCCAGGCTCTGAACAGCCTAGGATCAGGTCCGTTTAGCCACACCTTTAAGCTGAAGACCAAGCCCCTGCCTCCCCAGCCCCCCCGGCTAGAGTGCACTGCGTTCAGCCACCAGACCCTCAGGCTGAAGTGGGGCGACGGCCCGGCCAAGGCCACGCCCTCAGACGCCCTCCAGTACCAGCTGCAGATGGAGGACAAGAGAGGCAGGTTGGTAGCCTGGTTAAACCGCACAATATCATTCGCCTGGAGTCTCTGGATGGAAATAAATTCTATATATATACTATAATTATAAGACAGGTTGTATGGACGCTGATTGGTTGATAGCAGGGAGTTATTCACCACAATCCCCGGGTAATGCCTGTTAAGTTCCATTTGAATGATCAATGCGCATCCACTGTCCAACAGCCCAGCCGGGCAATTTATAAACTTAATCTCCCCCGCTTTAGTTGGCTAGCTAGCAAAGGAGAAGTAGCTAGCCTCCATAGCGATCTTGCTTGCTTAGAACGTCCATGCTAATAGAATGGTCAACAAGGCCATTTGGCCTGCAACTTCAGAATCTCAAAACTAGCAACTTGCTTTTGCCAGGACTATATCGTATGGTGGAAAGATTAAATAACATTAATTTACTCATTCAAATAAACATTTTAATGAAAACATTTCGTTAATCTTTTTTTAAATATGTTGTCAACCGTTTTATAAAAGCAACAAGGTGACCTTGGCTTCGCCCCCTTAGTCGGGAGTTATTACTATCGGAAGCAACTTTGTTGATATGCATTGCCAGTGATATTCTATTTACATTTTACATTTTAGTCATTTTAGCAGACGCTCTTATCCAGAGCGACTTACATGAGCAATTAGGGTTAAGTGCCTTGCTCAAGGGCACATCGACAGATTTTTCACCTAGTCGGCTCGGGGATTAGAACCAGCGACCTTTCGGTTACTGGCACAACGCTCTTACCCACTAAGCTACCTGCCACCCCTATCTATCAAGGAACAGGTCAATTCAGCTTTCAATTCACACATTTGAGATATTTTTAGTTATTTACATTTCTACTGACTGCTGCCCAGGATTTTGTTCTGACCTAATCACAATGTCAGAACAATAAATCAGCTGGCAAACAGGCAGAAAGATGTTTAATATGGTGCAGCTTCTGAAGCGGCAACCTTCAGTTTTAGTGAAGTGTTCGATATGGTTCCAACTAAATGTGTTGCCTCGTCCAAAAGTGAACCCAATAAGGAGACCGGCAGACAAGACCTGTTTTACACCACTCTCTTCCCCTCCCCTCTCTCCAGGTTTGTCTCCTTGTACAGAGGGCCCTGCCACACTCACAAAGTCCAGCGGCTCAATGAGTCTACCTCTTACATGTTCCGAATCCAGGCCTTCAACGAGGCGGGCCAAGGACCCTTCTCCACTGTTTACACCTTCACCACCCCCCGCTCCCCCCCCGCCCCCGTTAAAGGTACATCTCTCTCTATCCTCCACACTTCCTCTCACCTCTCTCTATTTCTCCTCCCATCCTCTCTTCTGTAATGTATAGACCTTCACCAGCCCCCATTTCCACATCTACTTCTTCTGTTAATTCATCCTCTTCTCATCCTGACTCTCCTTTATTCCTCTGTGGCTCACTTCCTCTCATCTTTCTCCTGACTGACCTTTCAGCCTCATTGTCCTCACCTTTCAGCCTCATTGTCCTCACCTTTCAGCCTCATTGTCCTCACCTTTCAGCCTCATTGTCCTCACCTTTCAGCCTCATTGTCCTCACCTTTCAGCCTCATTGTCCTCACCTTTCAGCCTCATTGTCCTCACTTTTCAGCCTCATTGTCCTCACCTTTCAGCCTTATTGTCCTCACCTTTCAGCCTTAATCTTTGAAGGTGTTGTACTCTCTCTCTCTCTCTGTAGCTCCCAGAGTGGAGCGTGTGGAGGACCTGTCTTCAGTCTGTGAGGTGAGCTGGGAGCCCCTGCTGCCCATGAAGGGAGACCCCATCATCTACACGGTGCAAAGCATGATGGGTAACTCTGAGTACAAACAGGTAAGAAGAATGAGAAGGGATGTGATTTATGTAGCGCTGGATGAGGAAACCAATACAGCCCTTACCAATGTGTAGCACCCCACCAGAGTCATTGTCTTCAGTCATCGCTGTACAACGGTGGTCACCAACCGGTCGATCTCCAATGCATTCCTGAAGGTAGAACTCTGCCTACCCGGCAGGCCCAGAGAGCAAATCGAGAGCAGCTATATAGGCCTACCGCTGGCCAATCAGGATAGCTCAGATCACCGTGTCTCTGCACAGTTTCCTTGAGCCATAGACTAAAAAGAAACCTTGAACGCACAGCAAAGTTGATACTGTGAGAATTTTAACCTTTTAAAACCATGACTAGAGAGAGACTCAACGAATACAGCAAAGAGCTGCTGTTTAAGTCATTATACAGCGCTGTTAACCCTTTGTTCAACACTTTACAGTGGCTTGTATTCATGGTTGGCAACGGAAGCCAGGCTTCCCCAAAAAACCGACCAAGAAAAAAGACCAAAAAAACAACAAAATAATGTATCTTTTGTCTCTCTTTATTTCATACATTTCCTTCAATTCGCAAGAGGCTGAATGTATTTCACCGGAGAAATCATCAGAGCGAGCGAAACAGCGCCCCCTCTGTCTCTCTATGTGTAGGCCATCTATCAAAATGAGTATGACATTGTTGCCGCCCGTAGCGTTGAAGGCAAGGGAAGCCAGCGAGCATCTGGCCTCCCTTGATTAAAAAAAAAAAGTAGAAAGTAATAGCCAATCAGCGTTGAGCTAAACTGAGTGAGCTGAATTGTTGCATCTCGTTGTGTCGTTGTCCTCCGGGCCGTTCCTAAATTAGCCAGGGAGAGGATGGACTTGTGCTTTTACTTAATTCTCCGTACTGGCCAATGATTATAACAGCGATTCTGATCCAACCATTAATTCATACATTGTGCCCCTGGCCTGAGAGAATGGAAGTTCAATATGTAGCTAGATGTAGAAGGTGTCATTAGTGTTTCTCTACAAGCAGGGTGAGTCAACATTGTTTCTCTACAATAGGGTGAGTCAACATGTTTTTCTACTTCCACACACACACACACACACAAATCAGAACCATGGACAGCCACATCATATTTAGCTTACGTCGATTGGACTAAATAGTTTTTGGTATCTTTTAGTTGTCACTGTATTAGACTAAGCAGAGGTGATTTGATGATGTTAAAATTGAAATGGTGCTGGAATAGTGGAGGCAGCTCCTGTTTTCTTTGCGACTTGCGGTAACTCTCTGTGGTTCTAAATCAATAGTTGTTTAGTGGTCCGAAAATGTTGGAAACATGACAACTCGTAGGTCATGTAACAGTTTGTTACTGTTCCATGCAATATGCTTTGTGGACTTCACCGGACAGAGGTAGCTCTCCGGTTTTGTGATGAAACAAAGGTGTGATTGAATTTATTCTACCACTGTGTCTTCTTATTGTCTCGGCCTTTAGGCCTGTATATCAATGCAATTATCACAACACATTGTTGTAAAATGGCTTTTTTTTCCCTGGCTTTGCTTCCCCAGTGAATTTACCCACGCGCTGCTACTGCACCTTTATAAGCCATAAAATGTGCGTTCTCCCTACTTCCACTCACACTACAACCAGCACTGCAGATGTAATGAATGAGTAGGAGAGTGTATCTATAGGCTTGCGTTGTTATTATTAGCGGCTTGGGTCTTTTTTAAATAATATTTCACCTTTTTCTGGACATAGGAGTAACAACATGACTTGGTGTATGAGGCAGAAATAATGCGGTGCAACTTGAGTTTCACCATCAGCTGGAAGACTGAGTTGGGTGAGCGAGCGAGCGAGTAGCCTCACCGCTGCTCCCTCCCCTCAGACTGACCATCAACAAACGATCTATTACCAGTGTGATCATATACCTACAGATTTACATAATTTCAATATGGTCTGAGAAGAACATTGTTGGCAGGGCAAATCAATCATAGCCTGCTGCACAAACCTCACTGCTACAGAACTGTTTTTAATTGGTTAATGTTGCATAGGCTTATGTCTTTTAGGGCATGTTAAAAAAAATTATCTGACCGTTAAAGCTCTGCTTGTGTCAGAAAGTGACCTTGACTCAGAAAAGGTTTGTTTGCGTTCTACTACATTATGCATATTAGCAACAAACAGATGGAGGCTACCTGTTGTGACAGTTAGCTCAGCTGTAGCAGTTCTTCATCAGGCTGAATGGTGATTCCTCTGTCTAAATGGACCATTATGCTAAATGATGTTGATCCCTGAGGGGAACCCAGGTGTCTAGTCTCCCACTCCATCCTTCTCAGCAGTAACTCTTAGCAGGCCAACCTGGACTAATGGTGGGCTCAGCAGTAACTCTTAGCAGGCCAACCTGGACTAATGGTGGGCTCAGCAGTAACTCTTAGCGGGCCAACCTTGACTAATGGTGGGCTCAGCATAACTCTTAGCGGGCCAACCTGGACTAATGGTGGGCTCAGCAGTAACTCTTAGCGGGCCAACCTGGACTAATGGTGGGCTCAGCAGTAACTCTTAGTGGGCCAACCTGGACTAATGGTGGGCTCAGCAGTAACTCTTAGCAGGCCAACCTGGACTAATGGTGGGCTCAGCAGTAACTCTTAGCGGGCCAACCTGGACTAATGGTGGGCTCAGCAGTAACTCTTAGCAGGCCAACCTGGACTAATGGTGGGCTCAGCAGTAACTCTTAGCAGGCCAACCTGGACTAATGGTGGGCTCAGCAGTAACTCTTAGCAGGCCAACCTGGACTAATGTGGTCAGCAGTAACTCTTAGCGGCCAACCTTGATAATGGTGGGCTCCCGTAACTCTTAGCAGCCAACCTGGACTAATGGTGGCTCAGCAGTATCTTAGCAGGCCAACCTGGACTAATGGTGGCTCAGCAGTAACTCTTAGCAGGCCAACCTGACTATGTGGCTCAGCAGTAACTTTAGCGGGCCAACCTGGATAATGGTGGGCTCAGCAGTAACTCTTGCGGCCAACTGGACTAATGGTGTGGTGGGCTCAGCAGTAACTCTTAGCAGGCCAACCTGGACTAATTTGTATTTTATTTTATTAGGATCCCCAATGCCAATGGCGACAGCTAGTCTTACTGGGGTCAAACACATAACGAAAAAGACATTACAGACAAAATACTTTACAATTTACATTTAAAAACATGTTGTGTGTGTGTGTGGTATGCATTAGAGGTCTTCATTGGTCTAAAAAGTTGGACCCGTTCGGAAATGGACCTGGGGCTTTCCCACCCGGACCCGATACGCATAAATGTTGTTTTTTTTCAAACATAGAGACCCGTTCCGAACGGAACCGAGGACAACTAGACCCCTTCCGTGTAGACCTGGTCGGATCCAGACCCGGTCCGATTCCGAGTGAGGGGAGCAGCAGAAAAGTCATTTTTTTTATGCTACTTTATTAACCGGAGCTGATGAAGCGAGAGAGGTGGCGCTCTAGCAGGGCCGGGGGAGGGGCCATACTGTGAGGGAGTGACACAGACAGGGGAGGGAGAGACGAGAGACGGCAACCAACCACGCCGACTCGCGCTGAAGTACACTAATAGCTGCCATAGCTAGGTTAATTATCATCCAACATGATTACATAGTACCTGTCTTGACTGTATCAAACCCGGGAGAAGCAAGTTAAGCTAGCTAACGTTAGCTAGCTAGGCTAATTGAGGGTGCAGTGCATGTGAGCTTTTTTAATCCTACAGTTCCAAACAACAATAACTCCATTCAGAATATTAAAGCCTTACCTGTCTCTTAGTCGTTGGAGCCTGTCCTTCTCCTTTAACTTTTAATTCATCATCATTTTAATTCCGTCTTCCATTGATTTAAATATCTCCTGACGTTTTGCCCCACACGGAGCGAGGCTCTATGACTGTAGCCCATTGATGACTTCTGATTGGCCAACAACAAGCTGCACGCGCCACGCTCCACTGTCCTGAAAAGCAAGAACATAAATGATAACATTTCCTCTATTGCAGCAGTCGCGTTAGGATCAGTACGGGCCATTCCGGACAAGTCAGTTAAAATTACACATACCCGTGACAATCATATCAAGAGACCGACCCAGACCCGTGACATTATTTAGAATTCTGCTCGGGTCCCGGATCGGGTCTCCGGTATTCGAGCACAGGTGGATTCGTGAAGAGCTCTAGCATGCATATCAGTTCCACATACATGTCAGTACATACACACAACAAGTAGGTCACATGGGGGAGAGGCGTTGTGCCGTGAGGTGTTGCTTTATCTGTTTTTTTAAACCTGGTTTGCTGTTCACTTGCACTATATAAGATGGAAGGGAGTTGCATGCACTCATGGCTCTGGATAATACTGTACGTTTCCTTGAATTTGTTCTGGACCTGGGGACTGTGAAAAGACCCCTTGGTGGAATGTCTGGCGGGGTAAGTGCCTGTGTGTAAGTTGACTATGTAAACAATTTGAAATTTCCAACACATTAATGTTTCTTATAAAAACAATAAGCTATGTCAGTCTTTCCTCAACTCTTGGCCAAGAGAAACTGGCAGGAATAGTATTTATATCAGCCCTATGATTACAATGAAGAGCAAGACGTGCCGCTCTGTTCTGGGCCAGCTGCAGCTTAACTAGGTCTTTCCTTGCTGCACTGGACCACATCACTGGACAATAATCAAGATAAGGCAAAACTAGAGCCTGCAGGACTTGCTTTGTGGAGTGCGGTGTCAAAAAAGCAGAGCATCTCATCACCGACAGACCTCTCTCCCCCAGCTTTACAACCATTGAATGAATCATGTTTTTGACAATGACAGTTTACAGTCTAAGGTAACACCAAGTTATAGTCACTGACTGCAACTCTTTGTTCAGGGGTTGCAGTGATTTTCACTAGCTGGGGTTGCTGACACGTATAGGGTTGAATCATCAGCATACATGGACACACGTGTTAATACCAGTGGCAGGTCATTGGTAAAACAAATCTAAAAGAGCAGAGAGCTGCCCCCTGCGGTACACCATTAAAGAGAAGGTTCCTCTGTGTTCTCTGAATCCACAATACGGCAGAGGTTGAAAAGCCATAACAATAATGGCTATGGTTATGGTGGGCTCAGAGGCTGCTGGCTGACGCTAATCTGCCTTGATATGACAACCAAATTAAATAAGGAAGCTGTATGCGTCTGCCATTTACCACAGAGCTTTGTCCTTTCATCACTCTATCCAATCACAGGCCTCCAAGCTACAGAGGCAGACCATGTCTTCTGTCTCCCTCCTACTTCCTTCCTGTATATTAACCTCCCTTTCCTCTAGCTCTCTCTTTCCTCTATCAATTCAATTTAAGAGCTTTACTGGGCATGGGAAACTTATGTTAACGTTGCCAAAGCAAGTGAAATAGATCATAAACAAAAGTGAAATAAACAATCAGGAATTAACAGTAAACATTACACTCAGAATTGTTCCAAAGGAATGGAGACATTTCAAATGTCACATTATGTGTATATATACAGTGTTGTAACGACGCGTAAATAGTTAAAGTACAAATGGGAAAATAAATCAACATAAATATAGGTTGTATTTACAATGGTGTTTGTTCTTCACTGGTTGCCCTTTTTTTCGATCTCTCGCTCTCTCGCTGTCCCTCTTCTCTCGTCTCTCGTCTCTCCGGCTGTCCTCTCTGTCTTCCTCTCTCTCGCTGTCTCTCTCGCTGTTCTCTCTCGATTTCTCTCTCTCTCTCGGCTGTCTCTCTCTCGCTGTCTCTCCACTCGCTGTCTCTCCTGCTGTCTCTCCTGTCTCTCCCGCGGTCTCTCTCTCGCGCTGTCCTCTCTCGCGCTGTCTCTCCGCTGTCTCTCTCTCGCTGTCTCTCTCATCGCGTTCCGCTCTCTCCTGTCTCGCTGTCGTCTTCTCTCGCTGTCTCTCTCTCTCGCTTCTCTCTCTCTCGCTGTCTCTCCTCTCGCTTTCTCTCTCTCGTTCTTGCTGTTGCTTCTCGCTGTCTCTCTCTCTCGCTCTCTGTCTCTCTCGCTGTCTCTCTCTCTCTCGCTGTCTCTCGTCTCTCTCTCGCTTTTGCTCGTCTCTTCTCTCTTTTTCTCTCTCTCGCTGTTCCTCTCTCTCTCTCTCGCTGTCTCCTCGCTCCTCTTTCGCTGTCTCTCTCGCTGTCTCTCTCTCTCGCTGCTCTCTCGCTTCGTCTCGTCTCTCTCTCCGTCTTCTTTCTTCTCTCTCTCTCCTTCTGTCTTTCTCTCTCTCTCTCGCTGTCTCCTCTCTTCTCTCTCTCTCCGTCTCTCTCGCGTCTTTCTCTCTCTTCTCTCTCTCTCCTCGCTTTTCTCTCTCTCTACTGCTGTCTCTCTCCGCTCTCTCGTCTCGCTGCTTCTCTTCTCTCCTCCTCTCTCTCGCTGTTTCTCTCTTCTCTCTCTCCTCGTTTCTCTCTCTCTCTCTCCTCTTCGTCTCTGTCTCTCTCTTCTCTTCTCGCTTCTCTCTCTCTGTCTCCTCTCTCTCTCGCTGTCTCCTCTCTTCTCGCTCTCTCTCTCTCTCTCTCGCTGTCTCGCTCTCTCTCTCTCGCTGCTCTTTCTCCTCTCGCTGTCTCTCTCGTCTCTCTCGCTTCTCTCCTCTCCTGCTCGCTTCTCTTCTCGCTCTCCGTCTTCTCTCTCGCTGTCTCTGCTCTCTTCGCTTGTTCTCGCTGTCGTCTCTCTCTCTCCTTCGCTCTCTCTCTCGCTGTCTGTCTCTCTCTCGCTGTGTCTCTCTCTCTCTCGCTCTTCCTGTCTCTCTCTCGCTGTCTCTCTTCTCCTCTCTGCGTCTCTCTCTCTCTCGCTGTCTCTCTCTCTCTCTCTCTCTCTCTCTTCCTCTCTCTCTCTCTCTCTTCTCTTCTCTCTCGCTCTCCTGTCTCTCTCTCTCTCTCGCTGTTCTCTCTCTCTCTCTCGCCTGTCTCTCTCCTCTCCTGCTCTCTCTCTCTCTCTTTCTCTCACTGTGTCTCTCGCTCTCTCTCGCTGTCTCGCTCGCTCTCGCTCTCTCTTTCTCTCACTGTGTCTCTCGCTGTCTCTTCCTCGCTGTTCTCTCTCTCTCTCTCTTCCTCCTGCTCTCTCTGTCTCGCTGTCTCTCTTCTCGCTGTCTCGCTTCTTCTCTCTGTTCGCTCTCTCTCTTCTCTCTCTCTTCGTCGCTCGCTTTTCTCTCTCGCTCGTCTCGCTCTCTCTCCTCGCTTTCTCTCTTCTCTCTCCTTGCTGGCTCTCCTCGCTGTTCTCTCTTTCCTGTCTTCTCTTCTCTCTCCGTGCTTCTCTCCCTCGCTGTCTCTCTTCTCTCGCTCGCTTCTGTTCTCTCCTCGTCGCTCAGCCTCTCTCTCGTGTCAACTCTTTCTCTCTCCCGTGCTGTCTCTCTCTACCGTCGCTGAGCATTGTCCCTACCTCCGCTGTCAATCCCTCGCTGTCTCTCCCTTGCTGTCTCTCCCTCGCTGTCTCCCTCGCTGTTTCTCTCCCTCGCTGTCTCTCTCTCTTCTCTCTCCCTCGCTGTCTCTCTCCCTCGCTGTCTCTCTCTCTTCTCTCTCCCTCGCTGTCTCTCCCTTCTCTCTCCCTCGCTGTCCCTCTCTCTCGCTGTCTCTCTCTCTTCTCTTTCTCTCGATGTCTCTCTCTCTTCTCCAGGTGTATAAAGGCTTTTTCCACCTTGTACCAGGTGTATTCTAACCTCTCTTCTCTCTCTCCAGGTGTATAAAGGTTCTGCCACGTCCTACCAGGTGCCCGGCCTGCAGCCCAACAGTGAGTACCGCTTCAGGGTGTGTGCCATCCGCCAGTGCCAGGAGGCTCCAGAGCTGAGTGGTCCCTACAGCCCCACGGTGGCGCTCTCCCCCCAGCGCAGTGAGCTGTCGGCGGGCAGTGTGAGCGGTGTGAGCCCCCGGGCTGGAGCTGACACCGCCAGGCCCAAACACACCCCCCTAACAGATGAGCAGTGGGCTGCTCTCATCATCATACTCTGCGCTGTCATCTCGATCCTCATCGCTTTCATCATCCAGTACTTTGTTATCAAGTGAGCTTCATCTCTCCTCCTCTACTCCTCCCTTGTTCCTCCTCTCTGTCCCCTCCTACCCTGTTCCTCCCTTCCTTCTCCTCCAAGCTGCAGGGTTACAGCTTTAGGTTCCTGTTGATGTTGTTGTTTATTTCTGTTGTCACCCCTGGGTGATCATGATTAGCAGAGGGAAGGGAGTCCAGAGGAAATGATATCATGTACTGCTATGACACCTTCCTGTCTCCCTCTTCCCCTCCCTAACCCCCCTTTTACAGAAGCCTCTCATTATTTAACAAGACTCCACTGTGGTTGGTTACCCTGCTCAGAATAGAGTACCACAGTATGAGTCATAATACCCATAACACCAAGCGGTCTAAACAGGGAAATGGTTCCAATCGTTTTTCCACCATTCATTTTTCCCATAGGGGATTTTAGAAACACTTACAATATGGGCTGTGTTTCGTGTTGGCTTACCCTGGCGTGACATTTTGATAAATATGTAAATCTCTTTCAGATAAGGTGACTTTTGTCAATATATTCACCTTTATTTACCCTGCAAAACTTAAATGCTAATTAGCTGCTAATGTGGCTATCATAAAGAACTACAAATGCCATGATGATCTGACGAGACTGATGAATTGAGGCAAAGGTAAGAATCTCTGGATTAACTATCTAATGTTAGCTAAATTTAGTAATTAATAAATTGGCTACATTTCTTTAAATGGACAATTCTGTGAACTGTCTTGTGTAAGTTTTAAAATTGACACAATACCTGTTAGCAAAGGTGTCAGCCAGAGATTACATGCAGGAGCTTGCAGGGATTTGTAGTTTTGCATGATGACTACTTTGATGCTAATTAGCATTTTCGTATCTGAGAGTAAATACAGGCGAATATATTGATAAGTCACCTTGTCCAAGAGAGATTTACACAGTTATCAATACGTCACGCCAGGGTAAGCCTACACGAAACACAGCCCTTATTTTAAGTGTTTCTAAAATCCCCTATGGGAACAATGAATGGTGGAAAAACATTTGGAACCATTTCCCTGTTTGACCGCTAGGCTTTAAGGTATTAGGACACCTCCACTGTGAGGCTCTATACTTCATTGTGATTGGTTAACCTGTACAGAATGGATAATGAAGGAGCAGGGATATACGGTAAAAAAAAAAAAACTAAAGTGATCATACTTTCACTCACCATGGACGTGTTCCACCATATATATGTATAGATTATCCATTTATTTATATTGGAGTTTAAAAGTGGCCGGTATGAAACTATGTTAGTAAATAGGTGTATATAGACCCTGGGACCTGATTGGCCAGTGTTTGCACAGAAGTGTGTGTCCAGATGCACAGGTGTAGGTTACCCATGCTGGCTTCACGTGCCCGTGGGAAATACCCATGCTGGCTTCACGTGCCCGTGGGAAATACCCATGCTGGCTTCACGTGCCCGTGGGAAATACCCATGCTGGCTTCACGTGCCCGTGGGAAATACCCATGCTGGCTTCACGTGCCCGTGGGAAATACCCATGCTGGCTTCACGTGCCCGTGGGAAATACCCATGCTGGCTTCACGTGCCCGTGGGAAATACCCATGCTGGCTTCACGTGCCCGTGGGAAATACCCATGCTGGCTTCACGTGCCCGTGGGAAATACCCATGCTGGCTTCACGTGCCCGTGGGAAATACCCATGCTGGCTTCACGTGCCCGTGGGAAATACCCATGCTGGCTTCACGTGCCCGTGGGAAATACCCATGCTGGCTTCACGTGCCCGTGGGAAATACCCATGCTGGCTTCACGTGCCCGTGGGAAATACCCATGCTGGCTTCACGTGCCCGTGGGAAATAAGAAACTGGGAAATGGTAAGTCTGACATGATTCTTCAACCAATAAGATTTTAGCTAGCTTGATATAAGCTTGCTAACATTCCTTCTAATAAAGTTAGCTAGCTTGCTTAACATTGACAATATTGTCAGACTAGCTACGTTATCCAAATTGATAAGGTTGTAATTGTAAAAAAAAAAAACGCATTTGTTGTCATTTTTTTTTGGTTGAAAAGGTTAAAGGTCAGTGGTGAAATGTCGCAACTCTGGTAACAACATTTTCTCAGAGTTTCCCGCTTGAAATTCCGACTTGAGGGTCATTCAAGTTACATTTCCCACTGGGAACTAGGAGCTTCCAATAACTCCGATAGCATGTGAACACGGCAACAGGTAGGAAGTGGCTGGTTGGGGGTCAGTGGTCAGGTGACAGAGATACCTAGGGAGGGGGGAGTGGCCACTCCGCCTTCTGTAGTTTATATAAAGGGTTAAATAGAGAGGAAGAATAGATATCCAATTCTTGTTCGCATTATAGAACGTTCATTTAGCTTTTTTCCAACTTGTTTGATGTTCAGAATGTGTAGGGATGCAAAAGTTGAATGGACAAATGTTAGTATATTTTTGTATAGTGAAGACACAACGACCTGTTTAGTTGTTGGAGAAATAAATCGCTCAGAAGTAGAGTTTAAGGAAAATAAATCAAAAAACCAAAACTAACACAATGATGAATAATTATAATTATTTTTACTATCGTATAGTTATACTGTAGCTTGTATTTACAATCATGCAGCTGCTTTACTCTGAATTATTGTCCTTCAGCACAAAACATGCACTTCGCTTACTATCCCCAATCTCTCTCTCTCTTTCGGTACTTCATTTTGCACCTTTATTGAAAGAGGAAACCTTGACTGAATGTGTCTTGGTCTGCAGATTGGGTGTTTTAAAAGTTCTGGTTACCAACCACATTGTGTTTTCATAGTAACAACAGTATGTTCTCCCATCGGTATCAACGGTATCAGACCAGTTTGTTGTTTTCAGAGGATAGGATTGGATTAAAGAAAAAAAAAAAAGCTGGACGCATTTTCTTAATTTCTCAGAAGTTTTTTGGGGTTTTGTTTTTAATTTTAGAAAACACAAAATGTTTTTTTTTTTTTTTTTTTTTTTTTTGTAGCAGTATTGATTTGATGTTAGTAAACATATAGTACGTATAATAATGATCATGATGAAATTAAAATAATAGTACTTGGAGGATATCATCGTTTCTGATTTTATTTTGATTTCTTTACATCAGTCATTCATGTGAATATCTATTTTTTATAAGATTGAAGTATATGCTATTATAAATTAATTATGTCCTGAGAAAAACAAGAACGCCTAAGTAGCTAAATAATCATAAACCATGAAAAGTAAAAACTACTGCAGATCAGAACTGTGTTAACTCGTACTTCCTGTTAATCTAAAGTTTGGCCTTTTCTCTACGGACACACTCTTTTCGCGGCATTTCGCCCGCTGGGTGGTGCTATACGTCACGGTGGGACGTATCAAGAACCAGCTGAGCACTCGCTCAAGTCCAGATCTCGTGGAATCTATTCAACTCCCTGCTACAGGTTTGCTAATGCCGGGCAGTACAGTTACACGGCTTTCAAAATCGCTGAGCCTCACATTAAACGACTGTCTTTCCTGTCGTATTGTCTCGTAATGGATCTTACGGTTTCATCAGGGAGCCACAAAGAAGAGGTAAACAAATGTAATCGCTGAATTCACGTTATGTTTGCTATTTCATTCAGCCACAAAGAAGCTAAGCAAAATTATTTTGTATTTGAATTTCGCACTCAAAGTAAGTACAATGAGACTGGGTGTGTACATACGCTTCCAGGACAATAGGTTAAAGTTGCCCTCCAGCAAATATATAAGATAAATATAACATCCAAAATCCATCAGATTAATGAATGAAGCAACGCTGATTCCGAAATGTGTGAGAGAGAGCGAGAATCCAATTTACACACAGTCTAATTCAATATGTAAATTCCAAAATCCTGACATTTAATCAATAACAAATTACATGACCCTCACCTGGATTAAATAAAATAAAATACTAAAAGCCTTTTAGATTTGCTTAGAACACCAGTAAAATATGCCAGCTAACTGAGAAACATTGACAATATATTCAGCAGTTTACATGATGACATCAGTCACTGAAAAGGATGGGGGAAAGGTTCAGTTAATCTGATCTTGTTGAATCTAAACGTAAATAATTAATCTCAGTAATTGACAGTATATACAGGTATTATTGCATGTTGACTAACAAATCGCTGTGAAATTAGAGAAATCTAGTCATGATCAGTTTCATATATTTAATTCAGTAGCCCTAGTAGATTGGCTTGATGGCAGCATTCGTTGACGTTGTTGGTTGGCTAGCAAGCAAAACTTGACGTTACACATGGTTGACTTATGGGAAAACGTTTACAGTCGCTTTGTTAGCTAGCTATCGTTAGTTCAAATAAAGCCAAATGATGTGCTAATACGAAAGTATAAACCCACCATGGTTTTGTCGGTTAAGAAGTAATGAACGAGGTCCCAGGCGGAGTGTTCTCGGTTGGAATGAGGACGTGCATCGGACAGTTCTTGCACTTTGAAACCCCCCCGCCCACCGTGACGTATAGCACCGCCCACAGGACAAAATGGCGTGAAAAGAGTGTGTCCCTTTTTTTTCTCTGTGTGTTCAAGTCTTTGTGACCGATTTGCCGAGTTATGCGAGCTAAATCAATGTAGTCTGTGATCAGGCAGTAGTCTAGTGTTGTGTTTGGTTATGGGCAGATATGATTCTGATGATAATACAGGTACCTTGCAAAACGTCTTGAGGGGAATTACATTGATTTGGTCGACCAGGCATCTTTTGATCTCTGATGTCTTAACTCTTTGTCGTTTTAAGTAATTAAATTCCTATTTTTGATAGTGATTGCAACGTGTGCCATTTTAACACCTCCCTGTGGTGGCAGGTCAAACTACCGTCGGACTGAGAAGAGGAAAAATAATCAAAACGCTACAAAAAGAATTTAAAATATGCACAAAAAATGAGACCATTTTATGTAATTTTAATGTTTGCAGTTACCTCATAACACCGTACATTCCAAAATGAAAATTTGTTATACTATAAATACCAGTACCAGACATATCACTTTCAAATGTTCGTTATGGGAAAAAAAAATGTATAATCATGAATATGTATCTAAAGTGTATCTGTATAGCCATGATATCTACAAAAGATCCATGCACAATAAAGATTTATAATTCTTAATTTGTCCTTGTCTTGATTTGTCATGTCACATTTTCCGCTGCATTTTTTTCCCCCTCTGTATTTCACATAAAGGGGGGAACACGAGCGTCTGAAGGAAAAAAACAGACCAACACGACCGTAGCCGTGAGCAACATGTAGCCGTGAGCAACATAGGTTGCTGCCCTATCGCCTCTGACCTCAGAACATTTCCCGACCATTCTACATGTTCAATCCCCACCGTTTGTCGACACCCA